GGTTGTTTCCAACTCCTTGCTATTGTGAACAAAGCTGCAATAAACATGGGTGTGCATATATCTGCTTGGGTGTCAGTTATGGTCTCTTTAGGATATATTCTCAGTAGTGGAATTGCTGGGTCAAATGGTATCTCTATTTGCAACTTTTTGAGAAAGCGCCACACCACCTTCCACAGTATTTGCACCATTTCACACTCCCACCAACAGTGAATAAGGATTCCAGTTTCTCCACAACCTCGCTAGCATTTGTTGCTTGCTGTTCTGTTAAATTTTGCTGTTCTGACTGGGGTGAGATGATATCCCATAGTTGTTTTATCAATATATTCTTGACTTCAGGAGTATAATAATTCAAAATTACAACCCATAACAATAGAGATTCAGTTGCGAGAAAGGAAAGACTATGTAGAACAAGGGGTGATAATATCGTTAAAGAAAAAGAAGATAAAGAGTTAGAGACAACAATGGGCTATTACATATAATCAACATTAATCAATATGTGGATGCACAAGCAAACAGAGAAGAGGAACAGCCAGGGGCAGAAATACCTTGACTGTGTATATCATCTGGCAGATACTTCTGCATGTGTTGTGAATATATCCATGAAGAGAGAAGAGTCAGTAAGAGTCAATATTACATAAACTCCTTACCCATTACCAAATACCCTGAGGGAGTGGGTCACTGGCCATGAGGCCTCATAGACTTGGGGAACACTGAGGTCAAGTGGCAATTACATAGCCTCTAAAGACAGTGTTCTACTCTCTTACTGGTAATTAATGACTAGGTATATAAAAGCTTGCAAGTAGCCAGCTAAGGCACACCACTGGTCTCTTCCTGTCTCGAACAAAGACTGAAGAAAATCAAAGACACGTGGAAACAATAGCTCCCTGACCTTGAGACCAGAAGAACTAGGTGGTGCCTGGCTTACTGTGAAAGAGATTAAAACAGAAGATCCTAGAGAGAATTGTAGAAATATATAGAACAAAATTCAAAATTACAGTAATGGCCAATCTTCCTGGCTTGTTAGAGATTGACGAAGTCCCTGAGATTACGGCCCTTCGTGCTCTTCAGCAGAATGAACTCACCCTTGTGGCCTAACTTTCAGGTGAGCAACAGATGGATTTATAAGGTGAATGTCAGGGAAATACTGAGCGCTTAGAATGCTCAAACACAGAGGATCACAGAACAGTATTTTTCCAAGAAAAAGATTCAGAAGGAAAGAATGGAAGGATGAATGGAAATAAGAACCACAGGGAGATACTGGTGAGAGTGAGGATCCAACGTGGGGACTGAAATCAATGCTGTGAAACAACATACGTATACATGGTTGGAGGAAGTGCCAATTTCTAAACACTAACTCAAATCATCTTAATAAAAAAAAAATGCAAGCAAAATACCAAGTCAGCGCTTAATGAGAAGGAGGATTCACCAGAGAGGTTATACTAAATTTTTATTCTATTGTTTATGTATTTTTAAATTTAACCCACATATGGTTAGCCATTTTGATTATCTACCTTCAGTACTTGAAAAATATCTTCTAATTCTCACTCAAGTCCTCTCAAAGTTGGACAGAAGAAACCGGAGAACAGAGAAAGGGATATTCTTCCCACCTTTTCTAGCATCCAAGTACAGACTGTTCTCTGTGCAAAATTAGTTGGAAACTCAAGAATCCTGAGGAAGGATATTTTTTTCCATTAAATTGTGATCTGAGTGAAAGGCTACGGCACAAATTGGTTTTCATTCAACCACTTATGCTTTTTTAAAAAAATGACATCAATATAGGGTTCATTCTTAAGTCACAGAAAGGACATGGGAATTGAAAGCACTATAGTGCCTTAATAGCTGATCTTATACTTCTAGGTTGAAAAGATTGGAAGACAGTAAGAATATATTTAAATCCATAATCTTATTATTCTTATTACTGAGGGGGTTGTTACTGTGTACCATGGAGAAGCTGGAGACACAAATTTTGTGTCTTCAGGATTGCAGCGCAGCTTCTTACCACTAGGCCACCAGAGGTTAGCAGGCAGAAAAAAAATCCAATGAAATCTTTTCTGAACTTGGTCTCCAACTACTATCACCTTTGAACAGTCAAGTAGCCTTTGTTTGAAACCTCTAAACTCAGCCTTTTAACTCATGTAAGCATGCAATATTGGTAATTTAAGTTCCTGGTTTACCTTACGATTCAGCATCCCCCACATGAAAGTGTCTAGAGTCCCATTTGCTATGAGATAGTGAATGTTCACTGAACTGCACTGTCCAATTCGATGAGCACGGTCTTCTGCTTGCTTGATATGTCCAGGGTCCCAGTACAACTCAGCAAAGACGATGTGAGTTGCAGCAGTAAATGTTAAACCCTAAACAAAATAAACCAAAGAAACTGAGATGCAAATAAATGGAGAACATAACACAGTATCACCTTTTCTTTCTGAGCATGCCAAATGCTGAAGGACTTGCAAAGAAAACAGGTTTTCATTTTAAGCAGAATTAAGAAGAAAAAAAATTATTCTCAGCAGGAAAATGAAGACTGCTCATTGCAAGATAGGCAAGAGAACTATAAAAGCACAAATAAGAGGTAATGCAAGGTTTTAAAAGTCAGCTTGATAAAAAAGATACACAAAATCACTTTATCCTCTGCTAAAAACAAGATTCACATTATGCTATGAAAATCCAATGAAAAGCATTATAAACTAGAATATAATTTCTAACATATGGTATCCATAACAACTACACAGACAGCACTGTCACCCCCTACGGATCTAATACGTACTCCTCCTCCATAAAGCAAGGACATTAGGTATCCAGTCATACGTTGTCTATGAAATGTCTTCCGATGCACCCTGCAGACCTGGAAGCTATGTCCCAACATAGATGTTGAGTAACAGCAATTTTTTGTTTCATTGCAAAATAAAATGTTGTTGGATTTTATAATTAACATTTAAAAGGATATAAATCTCTTTAAGTGGAAACTGTGCCAGGAAAGGCGTAATTTCAAAGCTGAAAAACTGAGTAAAGTTAGTCTAACCCATATTAGGTCATTGACAGAAATATTCAACACTCTTTAAGGTCTATTCCTGGTGCACACTCACTCACCTGAACTTCTGAACTTTTGTGACCAATGTGCTGCTACTATGATACCAGTGCACTGCTATTTTAACAGGAAAGTTTTTATATCATGTAACATTGTTTTATTAATACAAAATTACATGGTGACAACATTCATCCAGCTGAAAAAGTCACTGAACAGACATTAGAGGAAATAAAATGATGGAGAGAAGCAAACCACCACCACCACACTAACCTATTCTCCAAGTTCCACAAAATATTAGGATCAATGTTGAAAAAATTAAGAAGTTGTCCAAAAACAACTAGAATAGCACCTCAGCAGAGAATTGCCGGAAGTCCAGGCTGGGTTTAGAAGGGGTCGTGGTACTAGGGATAATGTTGCTGATGTTAGATGGATCTTGGCTGAAAGCAAGGAATACCAGAAGAATGTCTATCTGTGTTTGATTGATTATGCAAAGGCATTTGACTGTGTGGATCATAACAAACTGTGGCTGACTCTGAGAAGAATGGGAATCCCAGAACATTTGATTGTGCTAATGCGAA